GTAGCATCCGGTTTGCTAGCTGTAGCATGTTTAGCTTATTTTAATCTTCAGTGTTTATTTTGTTATTTCAGCAACTTTTTGTAAAGTTTTCTGTGTAGCGTCCGGTTTGCTAGCTGTAGCATGTTTAGCTTATTTTAATCTTCAGTGTTTATTTTGTTATTTCAGCAACTTTTTGTAAAGTTTTCTGTGTAGCATCCGGTTTGCTAGCTGTAGCTGTTTTGCTAACTGTCGTATTAATTTTAGCATGTTTTTTTTTTTTAGCTTGCTCACTGCTTTTTTTCTTCTTGTTTTGGCCTTTTTGTTGTTGTTTTGTTTAGAAGCAGACATGCAATTATTTATTTATTATCTATAGTGTTATTTACTTTAACGTGATGGAATAAAAAAATATTGACGCTTAAGTCAAGATGAGTTCATGAATAATGGGAAAGTTTTAGTTCTTTATTTTGTCGTTTAAAAATAACCACAGCTATTATTTCTGTAACTTGTTGCTGTGAACTCAGCGCAGCTCTCAAAAAGGAGGCAGAACCGAAACAGCTGAAAGAGGAAGTCACCTTTGGAAGTTGAGTAAAAGCACTCCGGCTCTTTTTTTTCTTTTTCTTTTTTTTTTTTTTTTTTCTTTTTACAACCAACTGTTGAGCAGACGAGTCAGTCGCTCGTATGCTTTCAGGAAAATGACAATAATAGCTGCTCCCGGAAACTTAAAACCTCATCTGAACGGACTGAAACGTGAGGATTCAAGGAAGAACGCGTATCAGAACGGACGAGAGGTACGTCTCTTACCGGTTAGCTTTAAATATTTAATATTTCTCTCATATTCCTGCTTGATAGGTGCGGCAATTTATCACGTGTGTTCAGGTTATATTACCTGTGATGATTTTGGTGACGTAAACTAACTTTATACTTTGACTGGCTACAGCTTTATTTAAAAAAAAGAGCAGTAAAACCATCCCCTATAAGCAACTTCGTCCTGTCGATATAAAACAACACAAACAGGCGTTTTAATGAAAATATAGCTGCACAGAATGAGACCCCACCCTGAAATGCTTCTTCCTCTCAGTTCTATTTCCATGTCTTCAGGCGATGTGTCAGAGGTTAACAAAGTGCGTTTGTTTTCTTCACAATAAACGGGGCTGTTTTGTCCTAAAGCTATTATTGACATTACACACAATGACTGTACAGTCTGGTCAACTTTGGTCTTGCAACTCGAATTTTGAACGCCTAATATGAGAATTGGTGTCGGGGTAAATTTTACAAACACGGTGTCAGATTATTTAGTTTAAAAACTGGGAGCAGTGGGCTCAAGGAATGGAAATATCCAGAAATCAAGTTAAACAAAATAAATAATAATAATAATACTAATAATAATAATAATAATAATAATAATAGCATATTTACAACTCACAAAACACAAGTTAATAAAACGTAGTATAGTGACTGTTTTGTATTATCATTATACCCCTTTGTTAGTTAGGCCAGGGGTTCTCAATCTATTTGGTGGGGACCCCTTATAAGGGTGAAAAAATCCCAGGGTCCCCCTCATAAACCCCTTGATGTTTTAAAAGATAATTTATTGTCATTTCAACCCCCTAAATGCCAAGTGAATGTATATTTATATTGAGTTTATTATGTTTGTTTTATTAGTTCATTGTTCTCCACGTATTCCAAATTAACAATTTAGTGAATGTTTTTGACGATCCCCAAGATACCTCTCACGAACCCATGGGGGTCCTGGGACTCCAGTTTGAGAACCTCTGAGTTAGGCTATTAGCTAAATTTTTATAGTTAAACAGGTCATATTTTGGGTATCAGCCAAAAGCGACAGTTTGAGGCTGTGTCCAAAACAACAGGCCGGGTCCTCCAAAGGACCCAGACTACCCGGTCGCAGCAGGCCGGGTCCTTGGTAGACCGGGAAGACCGGAAAAAAAGAGGCTGTGAATTTCTTACCCCGGCGTACGTCATGTCACCTAGCAACTGTGACGACGCTAAACAAGCAAACTTAAATCAAAATTAGAAAAATATCAACACATTAGCATTATTAATATCACAAAACTATAAAATTAACTTAAAGGTATCATTTGAAGAACTAATTGACCCGCTGTAGGTTCATGTTTATTTCGCGTTTTTATGACGAAAAAATAATATTTAAAAACATGTCCATACAAAGATAAAAGTATTAGAATTACAACCGCTAATTTTAAAACAATTTTATATCACCATATTTTTATTTAAAATGTATTCTTTTCTCTCGCTTCGTCCGCCATTACTAGCATAAATAAATCTCTGGTTGGGCCGCAATGCATTATGGGATAYGCTGGGCCGGGAAGGATCCATCGGACCTGTCCTTCGATTCGGGCCAAAGGAAGGACGTATTTGTCGGCCGCATCGGAGGAGTCTTCGGTTTTGGACGTCCTTCGTCGCGCCGCTSTGACGTATGCGGCCGACAAATTCGGCCTTCGGAGGACCCGGCCTGCTGTTTTGGACACAGCCTGAGTCTCATTTTTCAGTCTGCGGTTCTTTCTGCCTGTCATTAAAAGTGCGGGAGACGCCGGTGTGTAGTTATCATGGTGACCATAACGAGCCACAGGCAGCAACTTTACCATTTCTTCCGGGTTTTCATTCCTGTCGGGTTTTAGTCAAGAGCACGATTTAAAAAAAAACTAATTAAATTTCGACAGCATCGATTAGAGAACAAGCTAAACGCTAGTTAGCTAGCCAAACATAGAACAAAGCAGATCTGTATGATCGTTTATGCAACAAGTGTTATATTAAACCTTTGCACTGGCTTAGGTTTTCAATAAATAAAAACATTCACAGCTACTTACGGTAGCTACGGTAGAATATACTGGTACCAGGAGGACATCGAAAGGGATTAGCATTGATGCATAAACTACAAAAAAGTTTAATTAGATGTCAATGACACAGAAGTAGGCATGAATGTCTAGACCGCAACGCATTGCAAAATACTGGCTTTGAGTGTGCACATTAGTGTCCATAAAAAGGTCCATTACACGTTTATTCCAGCCGGAGTATTATGATATTCTTGCCAAAGGGCCCCCAGGCTGCACCATAAGTATGCATGAATCTGATCAAGACTGCCACAGGTACAATTTAAGGTGTCAATATTAATTCAGTGAAACTTTCGTTGAGTTTTAGAGTCCTAATGGAGAAACAGATCTCTRAATGATGCTGAAAAACTGGCTGGTGCAAAACTACACAGAGCATTCAGATAAGACTGTATCAAATTAAAAGTCAACCCCCATGTCTCCATCGTTCTTCTGCATTCCTTTTCCTGGCAAAAAAAAGGGTGCAGCTTGCAAAAAAATTTTTTTTCAAAGTATCTGATTGTACGTCAGAGGATAGCGTAAAATACTTCTCACATGATTTACTTTTGTTAGCATTTTTCTTCTGAGCTCAGTCACAAGTTAGTTAAAACCTGTTTAAAGTAAAGGAATCACTGGTAAATCAAAGTGTTTTCAAAGTCTTCCTGAATGATTCGGGGGATTACTGTAAATTATTGAGCAAGATTTGTTTCTCAGACAGGGWTGATGCAAGTTAAAAGGATGAAAGTTAGTCTTACGTCTTAGTCGTTACATGTCTAGATGACATCGTTTGTCATATTTAGGGTGTGGTACCTCTAACAATGAAATCTGTTTGTCAAGATTATGCTAAAATAAAAAAAGTTGATTTTTTTTTCAGCTTGCTCCCTTTGGTGGTTAACAATGCGTGGTATTTACCGAACCCTTTGTGTGATGTTGTCTGCCTTTTATTCAATATGATTGTATTCTGTTGTGTTCTTGTCTGCAATGCAAGACATCTTATGTCGACCTGTTTTTGAGCAGAAGCATGGCCCSCGGGTTGGTGTCGGCTCCAGGCAGCACTCCAGGCAGGAGGCCTTTGAACAGCCGCCCATGTACGTGGCCGTCATGACGTACGTAGGCTACGGTATCGTCACCCTGTTCGGCTACTTCAGGGACTTCCTGAGAGCCGTGGGCATCGAGAAGTGCAACATCGCCCAGGAAAGAGAAGAGCAGAAGGTGGGTGAACTCAGTCAATGAATCCAGACATCCACCCAGTTATTTAACTATTTTTCCTTAATAACTCCCCCCTTTTTTGTTCCTTTATGTTTCCATGCACTTCTGTATAATGTTGCCATGGGTGAAACGGAACACCAAAGAGAATATGTGCTGAAGATCTAATTAAATCTCAGAGGATTCAAGCTCTTTCTTTGTTATTTTGGTTCAGTTTTTAGCATGGTCTCTTCAGTGAAAGTCAAATTGGAAAGTACTTTGGGCACAGAAAAAAGCCTTCATATCTCCACACTGGTTTGTTGTTATTTTTTTTATAAAGTCCCCGTAGGCAGTTGCAATAAATCTTCTCTGGGAAGACTAACAAGACATTCTGTTCTTTGTTGTACAAGAATTACTTACAGTAAGAAATAAAAGTGACATCAAAGCTTAGTGGGGATTTTGGCTTCATTTGATCAAGAAAACAAAGATTTTAACCCGTGAAGCAGCTAATAATGTTTTTTTTTCTCTCTCATTCTCAGGATTTTACTCCACTTTATCAAGATTTTGAGAATTTTTACACTCGGAACTTGTACATGCGAGTACGGGACAATTGGAACCGTCCCATATGCAGCCTGCCGGGACCCGTCTTTGACCTGATGGAACGGGTGTCTGATGACTACAACTGGACATTCAGGTCTTCTAACCTCACTGACTCTGACAGATGTACAAGATTAAATGTGTGATTAAAAGAGTAGTGTGTACTTCTGAATACAGGACTTGTCTATAGATCTTAGTTGGATAAACTTAAAAAAAGAAGAGTTATTGGAAAACCTAGCATTGGTTTTGAAGAATCGTTAGACCTAACCTTAAACCCCCAGCTGCATCTGATTGTATACATTTAGCAGCATGTGTCCAGCAGCCTGTTAGGTGTAATATCTTAGCTTTTCAATGTTTACTACTCAAATTAAGTCATATAGGGTTTAAAAGTAGCGATTTATGGGTTGTCTAGCTTAATATACCCTCCTGTGTGAGGTTATAGGAATAACGTAAGCGTGGGTATTCCTCATTGGCAAATGTGTCKTATGCAGAAATGTGTTTATGAATTTCTGAACCTGAATTGATATTCCTCATGGCTGCACAGCAGGGTCAGAGAATATATTATGAAAAAGAAAATGAACAGACAGCCACAGGGAAGGAAAATGATATTGTGAGTCGGTAGAAGAGGTAAGTGTGGATTACATGTTTAAAGAGGTTTAATGTGACTGGAAGAAGCAGATATGGGGAAGTCCTCTTGACTTTTTCAGTGAAGTGTGGTGAATTGGTAAAATAGTATGCAGGTTCATATAAGCTGTGGGGGGAAAAGTAGGTCAGCTGAAGAAATGTAGAAGTTCTGTAAGAGAAGTACTTAAAAAAACAGATTATGTTCCTCATAACTGAGATTTTGCTGTGAATTGCCGTGGAGTGTTGTTGATCTGATCTTGTCTTATCAGGGGAAAAATCAAGTAAATCAAAAATGATTTCATGTTATTCATTCATTTATTTTGCTTACAGTTTACCTGGTAAAAACCAGGTATGTACCAAATATGTACCAGACACATACAAGGTATGTACCAGTTAAGTACACAGTATGTAACTGGTAAGTACATTGTAAATACCCAGTAAGTAAGCAGTTTGTATCTTGAAACTATTTTACCTTGTGGGTGCTTACAATGTATGCACCAGGTACATACTTACAATGTACGTAACTGAACATACTGAGTACATACCATGTTCTTACAAGGTACATACTGGGTACTTACATGGGACAAACTGGGTACTTACATAGTACATACCGGGTGCTTACATGGTACATACTGGGTAGTTACTAGGAACATACTAGGTGCTTACATGATACACACTGAGCACTTACATGATAGGTACTTGGTACATACTGGGTACTTACATGGTAGGTACTTGGTACATACTGGGTACTTACATGGTAGGTACTTGGTACATACTGGGTACTTACATGGTAGGTACTTGGTACATACTGGGTACTTACATGGCACATACTGAGCACTTACATGATAGGTACATGGTACATACTGGGTACCTACCGAGTACCCAGTATGTACCTTGTAAGAACTTGTTATATACGCAATATATTTAGGTACGTACCCTGTATTTACCTGGTACATACATTGTTAAGTATCCAGCATGTACCAAGTATGGTAAATGTAAGTAAACAGTATGTACCAGGTATGTAGCAGGCTGTAATAAGTCATGACTTACTTTTTATCTGCACAAAAGCAAACACAAACACACATGAAATAATTTAAAATGTCCTTACAGGTTTACTGGGAGGACGATACATGATGTCATCAACATGGGATCTTACAACTACCTGGGTTTCGCAGAGAACAACGCCGACTTCCTGAAAACGGTGGCAGATCGGTTACAGCAGTACGGAGCCGGGGTTTGCAGCACAAGACAGGAAAGTGGTAAGTTTGTGGTCAACGATTTCTACAGAAGAATGCCACGTCTTCTTTTSAGCTCAACTTGAACATTTGAGAGAAAAAAAAATCGACTTTATAAACCAAGATTTCAGAGGTGCGTCATCTTATTTCCGTTCTCGATATGACTGTCTCTGTCAGAACCCAACCAGACCCGGCACATATGCCATCATTTATTATATTCCTGAAAAATTATACTGGGCGAATGTTTAATTATCTGCCAGTGACTGCAGTGTTCGATGAATTATTCAGCTTTTCCTAAATTATGCACAATAGTCATCAGTTCAGATCCACACTGGTCCATGGAGGAGCAGCGAAGCCATGTTAAATTGAAACATGTGACTTTATTAAACAGGAAGCAAATGGAATATACATGAATATGTTGTAAGAGTGGGGATCAAAAAGTGGAGTCTGATTAATTTTGAATGGTGTTTTTATCCTTTTATCTTCCATTCAGTTTCTGATGATGTGTAAAGTGGCAGTCAGCTGTATGATCGTAACTTTTGGTTACGGAGCTCAATGAGCAAAAAAAAAAAGTTTGTTTTCCCCAAGGAAGTACGTTTTTGTTAATATTGCTTAATATGCAACACTTCTTTCTTCTTTCTATCTGCTGAGTGCAGACTCAGTAAAGGTGAGCGTGCACACAAGCCGACAGTCTCAGTATGCGTTGCATGATATCGGCAGTTTGACACTGAGAAAAAAAAAAMCAAAAACAAAAAATGTTTGTCAGAGTACCGCTTCCTCCCACCCAATAAAACCCATCTATTATTCATTTCTGTGATTTATTCATATGTTTACTTCTTTTCAAAAACTGAAATGTTTCTGTCTGGGTTCCTAATGTTCGTTTCAGCTGCCTCACTGAGTGGGTTAAAGGGAAAAAATAAGCATTTCTCTCATGAGACCAGATTAGAAATAAATAATTAAAGCGTCTCATTAGTGACGCTGCTTCCAACGCCGAAGCAATTTGTTCAGGTGATGCACAGAAGAAAAGAAATCCTCAAAATCAAACGCTGCCTCAGTCTGGTTTAGACGATACAGACTATATCGCCCGCTGCTGTAGATGCAGATATTATTGTAGCGTCATTCAGTTTAAAGCAAAGATCCATGTCTGAGTTTAACCATTTTTCATCATTTCGGTGACAGAGTGGGCAGGATAGATCAAATGTGTGTGTTGTGATTGACTCTCAGCTACTGAACAAGTCAAACTTTAGTTTAATATCTCTGAAACCGACCGATATAAAGCCGTTTTTGTGTTTGCTAATTTCAATTAGCTGCGTYGGCCATCTTGAATTGATCCAAATGTTAAAGGGGCAATATCATGTAAAATCAACTTTTTTGAGTTTTATATCATGTTATAATGATATCCTCTCATAAAAAACATGCCCAAAGCCTTGCTTTGACTCATTCATGCATGTTTGAGAAATACTGCAGTGTTTTTAGGAAGCCATGCTGAGGAGCAAAACGACAGGTGGGAACCAGAAACACCCCTGGGATGTGTCTTTAAGCCGAACTTCCTCATGGCAGAGCACCCCCCCCCCTCCACACACACCCAACCCATGACTCCTGCAGGCTCTCCGGTGAAAGTGAAACCTAGCTGTCTGCCGAGCTCTCAACATTAGTTCTCATTCAGTGAAGCTCTTTTTCAGATTAAAAATACCTTTAAGGAAATGTATTTTCAGATGCCAAGTAAACTCCATCATGCCCCCCCCCCCGCCCCCACCCCTGAAATGGGC